ATTTCTTACCATACCTATTTTATTAGTAAAGAGTGAATCAAATAATTTTCAGTAAATATTTTAAAACATATTTCCTTTTAGTCACTCTCATTGATACTCCATTACTCTTGAATTTTAGAATTAAATAACTTTATATACTGCAAGACTCATTCTATATGCTTTTATTTATATTTGCATAAGTGATGTCAATAATTCCTTATTTTTGCATTGTATTTACTATGATGGTTTTATAGTGATGGTATATTTTTAAATTTCAATGAAAACAATGAGAAATATAAAATATATTGGGAATTATAAAAATATATTGAGAAATGCTATCTCTAGGATTCGGAGTAATTTGAATTGATAAAATTATCTGGTCTCTAAACATGTACTAAAATGAGATTATGAATCCATCTCTTCATGTTGCCTTTTAAAAATCAACTTTATTGATATAATTTACATACAATAAACTGCATCCATTTAGTGTACAATGCATTTGATAATTGTATACATCTATGAAACCACTAACACAATAAAAATACAGAACATTTTCATCACCCCTAAAACATTTCTTGTACACCTTTAAAGGCCAACCCTCCCTGCCCCCAGCACCAGGCAACCGCCAATCTTTGTGTCACTGAGTTTGCATTTCACTTCACTATTTGTGTCACTTCACTATTAGTTTCCAAAATTTCATATAAATGCAATTATTTAGTGTGTGATACTCATTTATGACTCGCTCTTTATTCAAAATGACTTTGAAATTCATCTGTGTTGTTGCACGTCAGTAGTCACTGCTCTTTATTGCTGAAGAGCACTGCAGTAGTCATTTATGGATAGACCATATTTTGGACATTTATTCACTTGATGATGGACATGAGGTCTATTTTCAGTTTGAGACTATTATGAATAAAACTATCAACAAGCATGTACAAATCCATATGGACATAAGTTTTCATTTCTCTTGGGTTGAATATGGGAGTGGAATGGCTGGGTTGTATGATAGCTGTGTATTGTAACTGTTCAAGAATTTGAAAACTGATTTCCAAAGTGTATGGGTTATTTCAAATTTCCACTTGCTGCAAAGGATTTCCAGTTGCTCCACATCTTCCAACACTTGTTGCTGCCAATCATTTTAATTTTAGTCTTAATGAATGCATAGAGGTATCATTGTATTTTAATTAGCATTTCTTTGATGGCTAATGTTGAAAATCCTTTTTCCTTCTTGGCCATGTCACATCTTCTTTCACGAACAATTTGAGTTTGTTGCCATTTTTTATTGGATTACTTGCCTTCTTACAATTTGGTTGTAAATTTGTATTTTCAGAATACAAATCTTTTGTCAGATATCTACTGCAAATATTCTCTCCCATTCTGTATCTTACCTTTTCATTTTCTTAGCAGTGCCAAGAGTTTTTAATTTTGAAAAGCCAAATTTAACTTTTTTTTTTTTTTTACTACATTATTTGACCTATTTAAGAAATCTCTTCCTATGGTTCTGGTACATTTTAAATGATTGCTCTGTAGTGATATTTACAATTTATCTTATAGCTATCAATCTTTTTAATTTCCTATTCAATTTTGGTCAACTCTGTCTTGCCATAAAATCATTCATTCTAGGTAGTATTCTTTTTGATCCTGTTAATTGATCCTTGATCCAATATCACTTGTGGTTCTTCTTACTCATTACAAATCTTATGTAAATTTTCTATCTCTCTACCTTACTTTAAGTTCATGTGGAGTATCTACTGGGGTTTTTAAATATTTTTCTACTGTAAAAGAGAAAAGATGGATTACTTTACAGAGAATGACAAATATCATATGATTTCAGTCATATATGGAAGTTAAGAAACAAAACAGATGAACATAAGGGAAGAAACGAGACAGAAGTGAACTATAAAATATAGACTCTTAACTATAGAACAAATTGAGAGTTGATGGAGGGATGTGGGTAGAGGATGGGATAAATGGGTGATGGGCATTAAGGAGGGCACTTGTTCTGTTGAGCACTGGGTGTATAAGTGATGAATCACTAAATTCTACTCCTGAAACCAATATTGCATTATATGTTAACGAACTATAAATAAAAATTTGGGGAAAAAAAGATGGATTACTTTACACATCTTGATGCCTGAATAAATTTAGGCATGCTTTCAGATACAAGATAAACTTAGAATACAATGGCTTATACAAAACCTTTTATTTCTATCACCAAGCAAAAGTCTGGGGTAACTTGCTATTAGTGTTGACTAAATACTGTCATGACCAGTGTTTCTTTCTCCTACAGTTGAGAGAAGGTCCCCACTCTCCCAGGCATCATGTGCAAGGCAGGAAGAAGGGTAAATTGATAGCATCAGTTAAAACTATTCCTTTTCTTAGGAAAGCAAAGGTTTTCCCAGAATGCATCTACCAGTGTTTTGATTGTCCTGACCTGAGTCAGTCACCTGGCCACTACCAACTTCAAAAGATGCTAACAAAGTAGTGAGGGAGAAGCACTGGACTTGCTCTGTAAACCAACATGTCTACAACTGTGAAAGTGGCTATCCATGCCCAAGGGGAAAAAAAAATTACTTTCCCAAAAGATATACAACATACACCAAAAACGACATTTAAAAATGTTATTCCACCAAAAAGGAGAATTACAGACCAATATCCCTGATGAACATGGATGCAAAAATTCTCAACAAGATACTAGCCAATAGGATCCAACAACACATTAAGAAAATTATTCACCATGACCAAGTAGAATTTATCCCCGGGACAGAAGGCTGGTTCAACACTCGTAAAACAATCAGTGTGATCAGCAAGAGAAAAACCAAGAACCATATGATCCTCTCATTAGATGCAGAGAAAGCATTTGACAAAATACAGCATCCATTCCTGATCAAAATTCTTCAGAGTGTAGGGATAGAGGGAACTTTCCTCAACATCTTAAAAGCCATCTACGAAAAGCCCACAGCAAATATCATTCTCAATGGGGAAGCACTGGGAGCCTTTCCCCTAAGATCAGGAACAAGACAGGGATGTCCACTCTCACCACTGCTATTCAACATAGTATTGGAAGTCCTAGCCTCAGCAATCAGACAACAAAAAGACATTAAAGGCATTCAAATTGGCAAAGAAGAAGTCAAACTCTCCCTCTTCACCGATGACATGATACTGTACATAGGAAACCCAAAAGCCTCCACCCCAAGATTGCTAGAACTCATACAGCAATTTGGTAGCGTGGCAGGATACAAAATCAATGCCCAGAAATCAATGGCATTTCTATACACTAACAATGAGACTGAAGAAAGAAATTGAGGAGTCAATCCCATTTACAATTTCACCCAAAAGCATAAGATACCTAGGAATAAACCTAACCAAAGAGGTAAAGGATCTATACCCTAAAAACTATAGAACACTTCTGAAAGAAATTGAGGAAGACACAAAGAGATGGAAAAATATTCCATGCTCATGGATTGGCAGAATTAATATTGTGAAAATGTCAATGTTACCCAGGGCAATTTACACGTTTAATGCAATCCCTATCAAAATACCATGGACTTTCTTCAGAGACTTAGAACAAATTATTTTAAGATTTGTGTGGAATCAGAAAAGACCCCGAATAGCCAGGGGAATTTTAAAAAAGAAAACCATATCTGGGGGCATCACAATGCCAGATTTCAGGTTGTACTACAAAGCTGTGGTCATCAAGACAGTGTGGTACTGGCACAAAAACAGACACATAGATCAATGGAACAGAATAGAGAACCCAGAAGTGGACCCTGAACTTTATGGTCAACTAATATTCGATAAAGGAGGAAAGACTATCCACTGGAAGAAAGACAGTCTCTTCAATAATTGGTGCTGGGAAAATTGGACATCCATATGCAGAAGAATGAAACTAGACCATTCTCTTACACCATACACAAAGATAAACTCAAAATGGATGAAAGATCTAAATGTGAGACAAGATTCCATCAAAATACTAGAGGAGAACACAGGCAACACCCTTTTTGAACTTGGCCACACTAACTTCTTGCAAGATACATCCACGAAAGCAAAAGAAAGAAAAGCAAAAATGAACTATTGGGACTTCATCAAGATAAGAAGCTTTTGCACAGCAAAGGATACAGTCAACAAAACTCAAAGACAACCTACAGAATGGGAGAAGATATTTGCAAATAACATATCAGATAAAGGGCTAGTTTCCAAGATCTATAAAGAACTTCTTAAACTCAACAGCAAAGAAACAAACAATCCAATCATGAAATGGGCAAAGGACATGAAGAGAAATCTCACAGAGGAAGACATAGACATGGCCAAGATGCACATGAGAAAATGCTCTGCATCACTTGCCATCAGGGAAATACAAATCAAAACCACAATGAGATACCACCTCACACCAGTGAGAATGGGGAAAATTAACAAGGCAGGAAACAACAAATGTTGGAGAGGATGTGGAGAAAAGGGAACACTCTTACACTGTTGGTGGGAATGTGAACTGGTGCAGCCACTCTGGAAAACTGTGTGGAGGTTCCTCAAAGAGTTAAAAATAGACCTGCCCTATGACCCAGCAATTGCACTGTTAGGGATTTACCCCAAAGATTCAGATGCAATGAAACGCCGGGACACCTGCACCCCGATGTTATTAGCAGCAATGTCCACAATAGCCAAACTGTGGAAGGAGCCTTGGTGCCCATCGAAAGATGAATGGATAAAGAAGATGTGGTTTATGTATACAATGGAATATTATTCAGCCATTAGAAACGACAAATACCCACCATTTGCTTCAACGTGGATGGAACTGGAGGGTATTATGCTGAGTGAAGTAAGTCAATCGGAGAAAGACAAACAGTGTATGTTCTCATTCATTTGGGGAATATGAATCATAGTGAAAGGGAATATAAGGGAAGGGAGAAGAAATGTGTGGGAAATATCAGAAAGGGACACAGAACATGGGGACTCCTAACTCTGGGAAACGAACTAGGGGTGGTGGAGGGGGAGGAGGGCGGGGGGTGGGGGTGAGTGGGTGACGGGCACTGAGGGGGACACTTGACGGGATGAGCACTGGGTGTTATTCTGTATGTTGGTAAATTGAACACCAATAAAAATTAATTTATTAAAAAAATGTTATTCCATGAGGTTAACTCAAACTAGAAATTCAGAAACTGTAAACACATTTAAACATGTAAAAAATAAAATTATGTGAATGGGAAAATATATACAAAGTTAAGAGTCAAGCAATAGTTTTCTTAAAGGAGTTATAACCTTTAGCATAAAAAAATAAACCTGTCGCAAATTGACAACAATCCAAAAAGAAAGATGAATGAATGGTTTATAAGGTTTATAAAGGCAACTTAGCTAATTAAATGGCCAAGAAACATTTAAAGAGGTATATTAGTATGTAAATTAAAGTAAGTTATCACTTTGAAATCAGAAAACTTCTCATAGAGTAACCATTGTTTTTAGTAGAGGGGAAGGGTGGCTTTATATACTGATGTTGGGAAATATGAAATGCTACTCTTATTTATTCCATAGACATCAGACAATTTCTATCAAAATAAGAAAACACAATTCAATCCATCAGTCTCACTGCCAGAATTAGCTTACAGAAAGAGGAAAAGCTCCAATAGGTAATGGCATGGTTATGACTGCCTATTAGCCCATTACACTATCCCACCTCTTGAGGGTGGTTATGGACCATTTTCTCTAATGACAAAAATGTGAACAGTGGCAGAGAGGGCTGAACAAACTATGACCTGTCCACACCACAGACTTTTTTTCAGCTAGTTAAATTATTCGAGTGCAAAAGATGCAAAACCATGTAATATAACCCCAGCTTAAGACAATGAAATCACACTCATGTGCGCACATACATTATGTATGATTAAGTAAAAAGAAAACTATGAAGTTGACTACCGCTGCTTATTTAGTGACAGACTGTTGGTGCCTGGAGTTGCTTTAACTGGACAAAGTGCAGGATTCAAGAGATAAAATATAAGTCATACATGTGTTTCAATGTTATTTAATTAAAAGAAAGGTTTTTGTGGGCATTTCTGTCAGTGAGTTGGCATTACCCTCTGTTGGGTGGGGGCTCCTATCCTGGGTACTGTCCTTTCCTGCCTCTACATTACTTCTACCATGTTGGGGGTCCAGTCCTCACAAGGGAGGGAAAAGGCCTTTTCAGCCTGTACCTTGCTGCTATGGCAGTGCCATGTTTACCCATGCACAGCCCATCTCATCTCATTCACATGCTGGCCTCCGTCCGCTACAGCATTTCAGTCCCATGCTAAAACTGTCATCTGCATTTTGGGAAATAAGGACAGCATAAAGGCCTTGAAAGTGGTGGAAGAAAAGGTAGAAGCCTTCAAATTTCATTTCCCTTGAATTGTAATATTTTTCTAAATAATAGAAAATTAGGTGATCCCTGGGTGGCTCGGTGGTTTATCACCTGCCTTTGGCCCAGGGCACGATCCTGGAGCCCCGGATCGAGTCCCGCGTCGGGCTCCTGGCATGAAGCCTGCTTCTCCCTCCTCCTGTGTCTCTGCCTCTCTCTCTCTCTCTATGTCTATCATGAATAAATAAATCTTTAAAAAAAATAATAGAAAATTAGCTGTCTTACTCATAAAATCTGGTTGCTTTTTGCCAATATTGCTGATAAATGGAGCAAAATGTTAACAGATGAATTTGGGTGAAGGGTTACTATGTAATTTTTCTGCCCTTCCTATTATTGAAACACTGTTCTATATGTTTGAAACCATTCCTAAATAAAAAGTTAAGAAAAAAAAAAAAAAGAAAGGCAATTATTGGGCTGGCCTATTATCCCAACTGGTTTAAGACATGGACATGAAATTTAACCAATAAACAAAATGAAACTTATTTCTTATAAAATGTTTCTATGGGAAAAGCTCTTCCAGTTTCCTCCTGATATGAATTTTATGGCATTTTAAGAAAATGATGTATCCCCATAAAAGTTATTCTCCTCCATTTTTATGATGTCTGGTAAGATATAAACGGTACACAAAGACTTTTTAAAATACAACTCGGGGCACCTGGGTGGCTCAGCTGGTTAAGCATCTGCCTTCAGCGCAGGTCACGATCCCAGAGTCTCTGGGATCAAGCCCCACATCAGGCTCCCTGCTTAGCGAGGAGCCTGCTTCTCCCTCTCCCTCTGCTGCTCTCTCTCTCTCAAATAAAACAAACAAAAAAATCTCTTAAAAGAATAAAAAAATAAAATACAACAACTCTGTCAAAGGAGTAATTTAATTTGTTCAAACTCAAAGAAGTGTTTATCATTTTCAGGAAATAAAATTTCACTCATGCACAAGTACTGAAAATTGATTTCTGAATGAAGCTATTTCCACATGAAATATATTTGTCTATTTGCAGCAGAAATTTTGTAACTTCCATGTGGTTCTCCAGTAATTGCTTTTATAGGTTTCTCTAAAATGAGTTTCTGAGGAAAAATCAACTTCTGATCTGTTATTTCTCTCATATAGGAATTTGCTCTTCAAAAAGTTAACTTTTCACTTTAAGGGTGATTTTTTAGTTATTGTATACATAAGTTTTCTTTCCAGGATGAATTATCTGCTATTCTCTGTAATGATGTAATGATTTGTAAATGAAGCCCTACTCACATTTAGTAAGACAGAAAATTACTCTCTCCTATGAATTATCTGATGCATGATTAAATGTTGGGTTGAATGAAAGTTTTCTTACATTTTTTTTAACTCACAGAATGAAAAGTTTTAAAAATTACTTTTTAATTTAAAAATTTAGATTATAAAATTGTTTTTAAAAAGCTTTGCTATAAATATAAATGAACTGTATTATAGTAGTGGTATAAAAAGATATGTCTATTTCACACTACTCTCCTTGGTAAGGTCCTTACTGCACATGCCTTCAATTTTTACCAACCTTGGAATTCCATCTAAGTAAGATTTAGCTCTCCCATTTAACACCTAACTGTCCATCATCCATTCCCAAATCAATTCCCAGCCCCTCTTCAAATATGTGGAGGCCAGTAAAAGGAAGTCTTCCTTTCTCCTAGATGTTACCGCCCTGTTGACAAAAGGTAATGTTTCTTCTTTTTTCAGCTCAATAATGTAGAACTGTATTTTTTTAAATGTGCCTGGGGAGGTGCCTAGGTGGCTCAGTTGGCTGAGTGTCTGAGTCTCTGCCTGCAACTCACGTCATGATCTCAGGGTCCTGGGATCGAGTCCTGCTCAGTGGGGAGGCTACATCTCCCTCTCCCTCTGCTGCTCCTTCTGTTTGTGCTCTCTCTCAAAATAAATAAATAAGGGACCCCTGGTGGCTCAGCGGTTGAGCATCTGTCTTTGGCTCAGGGAGTGATTTTGTGGTCCCAGGATGGAATCCCGCATTGGGATCCCCACATGGTGCGCTCTGCCTACATCTCTGCCTCTCTTTCTCTGTGTCTCTCATGAACAAATAAATAAAATCTTAAAAAAAATAAATAAATAAATAATTTTTTTAAAAAAAAGTAAGTAACGTGTCTGGGAATAAAAAGGTTGAGAATCACTATCTCAATAATCCTTTTAATTAATCTTTGAAATCCTTATTCTCAAACCCCTGGGCTGTTAGACCAGTTTTCATTAACTTCACTTCCTATTTACCATCCAAAGGGGAGAAAAAAAAACATACTCTTAAAAAAGAAACACAAGAGTCTCTTAGTCAATCTCTTTTTGCTAATGTCTGGCAACTACCATAATAAAATTTGACACTACCAAAGAAAGGCAATTTCCCCTTATGTATCAAAGTTCACAAAATCTGAAACAAACAGTAAATGTCTTAACTTTTACTACCAAAAGAAATGGGAATAGTGTCACAAATCAGAACACTTTCATTTTTTAGTTTGGAAAGTTTTGGTAATTAAAACTAAAAATGGTGGAAGAAAATATTAAATGTATTTAATTTTGTGATGGCACGGAGAGCTACCAAGAAGTAAGAAACTACAGGAATAAGATTAAAGATAAGACATAACCTCTGGGGATGCCTGGGTGGCTCAATGGTTGAGCATCTGCCTTCGGCTCAGGGCATGATACTGGGGTCCTGAGATCAAGTCCTGCATCGGGCTCCCTGCAGGGAGTCTGCTTCTCCCTTTGCCTCTGTCTCTCATGAATAAATAAAATCTTAAAAAAAAAAAAAAGAGAGAACCTCTGGAATTTGGGGCTATTTATTAAAAAGAGGTGTTTGCAGGGATGCCTGGGTGACTCGGTTAAATGTCTGCTTTTGGTTCAGGCCGTGGTCCTAGGGTCCCTGGATCGAGCCCCGAGTTGGGCTCTCTGCTAAGCGGGGAATCTGCTTCTCTTTCTCCCGGTCTGCTGCTTGGCCTACTTGTACTCTCTCTGCCTCTCTCTCTCTCTCTCTCTCTCTGTCAAATAAATAAATACGATCTTTAAAAAAAAAAAAAAAGTGTGTTCATTTTTAAAGCAAATACTGGGCAAGAAAGGTTAAAGTTTTTGACAAGCTTATGGGGCCTCTTAGACAAATTAAGTTCCTTCCCAGAATGAGATACCTGGCAAAGTCCACGTCTCTAGGGTATCCCCTAGAAATAAGAGTGAAAAACACCAGACAAGCCATCATGGAGACTGGAGCCCAGTTTTACACACTCTCACTACAAGACTGGAGAAAAACAAGCAAGGGTGCTCATGCTCTCACCTAGCCACCTGTTAGAGTGAAAAGCAAATCTCTGGAAGAAGATATCAACCAGACCATCTCAGTATCTCTACAATTGTTAGTTTATAGTATCTGGTCGTTGATTTAAAATCATCAGGTATAAGAGAAGACAAGCATCACTAAATCTGAAATAACTAATGGAGAAAAGTTAATGGGGATGTAAATAATGGGGTTATTTCTAGACAAACAGAGCAAGGTAACGAAGCTGAAGAATACATAGATAATATCAAGAAATTTCCAAAAATGTGAAGAGAAAAAAAAAACTTACTAAGCTAAGGATTTAAAAAACATTCCAAACCCCAAACAAATACATAGAAAATCATACCTAGGCATTTCAATGTGTGATTTTTGGCAGCCTAAGACATGAATTTTTTTTAAAAGATTTTGTTTATTCATGAGAGACACAGAGAGAGGCAGAGACGAAGGCAGAGGGAGAAGCAGGCCGCCTGCAGGACCCCAGGATCAGGACCTGAGCCAAAGGCAGATGCTCAACCACTGAGCCATCCAGGTGCCTGATAAGACATAAATTTTGAAGGAGCTACAGAAAAGGGGGTAAAAGCACATTACCTTCAAAGGTAATTACACTGAAAGCTTATTTTCCAACAAAACAGTGAAACACAGACTTTTTAAACAAAATATATTCAAGATACTAACAGAAAAGAACTGTCTGCTTAGGATCTTATATTGAGTAAAAATATCTTTCAAAAATGAAAGCAAAATAAAGACATCTTCCAAAGAACAAAATTTGTCACTAGGAAGCACACACTTAAAAAAAATTGCTAACGGGTCTTCTTCAGTCAGAAAAAAAAAAATTATTCTAGAATGAAACTTGAAGGAAAAGAAGGAATAAAAAAGTAATAAAAAGGGTAAGTATGAGGATTAATCTAGATGAATATCGACTCTGAGACAATAACCACGACATCAACTACATAAAAATCCAAATGCATAACATTAATACCATGTAACTCAAGAGGGAAATAAAGGAGCTACTTTTGTAGCTGCTCACCTCGTCCAGAGAGTGATATGGGTACTAATTTATATCAGCCTTCAATAAGTGAAGTATACGTACGGTATTAACTTCTGATGTAGTAAATCTTAAGGCAAAAAATTATCAGTATCAATAAAAATGGACATTTCATGATGATTAGGGTTCAAGTAACCAGGAAGAGTTCTAAATTTGAATGTAAAAACAAAGACTCAAAACATAGAAAACTAAAAAGGAGAGAATTTCACGAATATTCTGGAAGATAAAACACTTCTTTTAGAATCTGATGGAATAAATATGTAAGAATAGAAAGAGGGTTCAAAACACAGTAAGATTAATTTGTAGAGACTGAGAGGGGACAGGAAGAGTACTCTTCCAAATGTGCAATTCTGTCTTCTAAGAAGACAAACTCAAAAGCAAACAGTAGTGTCCAAAGATAATGTAGCATGTGATGACTATGTAGAGAATGTATTAACAAAATTATAAGGAAAGAATTCTAGGTTTTGAAACCCATTTTCTTAATTTGTCTCTTTTCCAAACAGAAATCAGTAAAAATTACAGATTTCTGTGGATGAGGCTAAGACTTTTATATCTGTGACCCAAGGCTTAGTCCCGTGGTCTCAGGGCCAGTTCTAAGGTAACAAATAGTCTGTAGAGCTGCTGCTTACCTCATTGGTCACTTTGGGGATGGATATAAGCTGGCAGAACTTTATGCCTCTTAGGTGTGAGTTACCTGTGCCATGGCAGGGAATTATTAAGTAAGGAAACATACTGGATAACTAAAGAGGCCTGTTAATGTTCAAGTAAGCCTGTGGTTTTAATTTGCCAATCTCAAAGTCAAATAAAAAAAAATGTTTATCCGAATTTCTACACATTGATACTGTAAAAAATAAATAATAGTGACTTCCTGAAGGAAAAAAGGAGGTCCTTCCTTTGTGTCTTTTATGTCAATTTTCACAAAAACTTCTGAATTCTCTTAGTTACAGGCTTGAATTGTCTATACTTTTGCCCTCATTTCAGCATCCTTAGACAATGAAAAATTTTCTTAGCACTCTACTCATTAAGAAATTACTTTGGTCAATAGTGAATACAGCCCTGAATTTATAGCTTTTTATCCATAACATGAAACAAAGTCTACCAAGTCCTCTGCTGGCATATTTACTATTATTTGCAGGAGTCCAATAATTAACTATGGCCCAAACACATTGTTTAAGCACTTTCTTCAGTGTCTCCCCCATACATGTAATTGGACACCAGTTCTGTGATCCAGACATTCACGCTTCTGACCAGAGATATGGTGGCTTGGTCACCTCCTGCTTCATAGTGAAGCAGTAGCCTCGCACTACTTTGTATCCCCACACCATGACTGCGGCACTGAGCACTCTACTTCCCCAGAATCAGATTTCTGACATACACTGAGCTGTGGCCTCCAGTGTAAGGTTTTCCTAAAGTCACTGCCTTTATAGGGTTTCTGTTTGGCATGAATTTTCTGGTGTTTAATAAGATTTGATCTGATGGTGAAGGCTTTTCCACACTCAGCACATATAAATGGTTTCTCTCCAGTGTGAATTCGATGATGTTCATGAAGTTGTGACTTCTTAATGAAGGCCTTCCCACAGTCACTGCATTCATAGGGTTTCTCTCCAGTATGAATTCTTCGATGCCTATTTAAGTGTGATTTCTGGATAAAGGACTTCCCACATTCTGTACAAATATAGGGCTTCTCTCCTGTATGAATTCTCTGATGCATAATTAGCGTTGATTTTCTTGCAAAGGCTTTCCCACATTCGCTGCACTCATAGTGTCTCTCTCCGGTATGAGACTGCTGATGTATATGGAGACCTGACTTCCGAGTGAAGGCTTTTCCACAGTCACTACATTTATAGGGTTTCTCCCCAGTATGAATTTTCTGGTGTGTAAAGAGATTCGATCTGTCAGTGAAGGCCTTTCCACACTCTGCACATCTGTAGGGTTTCTCTCCTGTGTGAATTTGCTGATGCACATGGAGTTGTGACTTCTTTGTGAAGGATTTCCCACAGTCACTGCACTCATAGGGTTTCTCTCCAGTATGAATTCTCTCATGGGTAATAAAGTGTGACTTGTGGAAGAAGGCTTTCCCACACTCAGTACATACATAGGGCTTTTCTCCTCTGTGAATTCTCTGATGCATACTTAGTGTTGACTTCTGGATGAAGGCTTTCCCACATTCACTGCATTCATAATGTCTCTCTCCAGTGTGGCATTTCTGATGTATCCTGAGCCGTGACTTCCAGGTGAATGATTTTCCGCAATCACTGCATTTATAGGGTTTCTCTCCAGTATGAATTTTTTGGTGTTTAATTAGATTTGACCTGTCAGTAAAGGCCTTTGCACATTCAGTACATATATAAGGTCTCTCTCCAGTATGAATTTTCTGGTGTATAATGAGACTTGTCTTGTGAGTGAAGACCTTCCCACATTCTGTACATATAAAGGGATTCTCTCCTGTGTGAATTCGCTGATGCACATGGAGTTGTGACTTCTTTATAAAGGATTTTCCACAGTCACTGCACTTGTAAGGTTTCTCTCCAGTATGAATTCTCTCATGTGTAATAAAATGTGACTTCCGGATAAAGGCTTTCCCACATTCAGTACATACATACGGTTTTTCTCCTGTGTGAATTTTCTGATGCATACTCAGAGTTGATTTCCTTGTGAAGGCTTTTCCACATTCAGTACATTCAAAGTGTTTCTCTCCAGTATGGATTTTTTTATGTACATTGAGATTTGAATTCTGAGAGACATTTTCCCCATAGTCACTGTATTCATAGGGTTTTTCTCCAATACGAATTCCATGGCATCTGAACAGATCTGACTTCTGGATAAAGGCTTTTCCATATTCACTGCATTTACCGTGATTCTCCTCAGTGTGAGTTTTCTCAGGATTTGACTTGAGGGAAAAGTCCTTTTCATATTCAGTGCATGTGCAGGGTTTCCCTCCTTCAGAAGCCTTTTGAGCAACAGCAAGTTGGAGCTTCTGACTGAAGACTGTCTCACATTTGCTGCATTGATGCTGTTTCTCTTCAGTATAAATACTCTGGTGTGCAAAGAGGTGTGACTTTCTGGTGAAAATTTTTACATAATCAGAAAATAAACTGAGATTCTCCCCAGTACGAATTTTTTGATGTTGAATGAGAGCTTGCTCATGACTCAGAAGTTTCTTACACTGGTTATATTCACAAGCATGTGTTTCTGTATGAGAGTCCATATGAGTGAAAATATTACCACATCCAAGAATCTTATCAAGATTTTCTGCTGCATTGTTTCTATAATCACATAAGCTTACAATAGGCTTCAAACTCCTTCCAAATGAGTCATAGTTCTGGAGTCTTTTTCTCGTAGGAACAAGGTATGTGTTTACATGATCAATTTTCTGAGTGCCTTTATATTCACAGTCTCTCTCATTAAATAGTGTTCCCTTGTTGATAAACGCGACATGATCTGCACTTGTGTTCTGGTTTTCCTCACATCTCCTTGTCTGTTTATCATTTTGCCACAATTCTTCTAAAATGGAATATGGATCACCGCTTGTGAAAAGATTAATTCTCTCAAACTGGATGGAAACTTCTTCAGACATTCCATGCTGTGAAGTTTCAAAACCAATATCCCCATCTAAGAAAGAAGGAAAAAATAAAATGTACAACAAACAGTTAGGAGAACACAAAAGGGAGAATACATATAGTTAATTCAGGAATAGAGAGAACTGTAAGAGACTTTATATAACAAATATATGTAAAAACATATATGAGTAGTAATAAATTTATATATAAAATATAGCAATAAAATGAATACTTATCTCATGTTTACTAAATAAGAAGCAGTAGCATTTAGATATGCCAGGCATTGTTCTAAGTTCTATAACTAATTCATTTAATCATCACAACCCCTGCTCTTGGTATCAGTACTGTCTGTATTTTACAGATGAGGAAACTAAGCCACAGAAGAGTCAGGTATTTGCCAAATACCAAATGTTTAGAGAAGAGAAGATTTAAAGTAAAGCCACATCAGCTCTATGTATGTAGCAGAACTACATAGTAAGCTGTCAGAGGAACAAAGTAACAAACTGTGTGGCTTAAAAGAAGTATGTGGAGCTTCTGGGTTGGTGAACACATGGATATTTGGAGAGAGCAGCATGCCTGGAGAGGGGATGGAAGCTGGCCCTATCCATCTTTTCCATCTGGCTCTTCCTGAGTTTTTATCCTTTTTACAATACCTGGTGATCTAAAAGAGCTCATCATTCACCTGGCAGAGATTCCTGACTATCAGTGCATCCCATGGGGAAAATGCACCACCCCTGCACAATCAGACTCTTGTGTATGCACTGTGCTCTCAGCAATGCCGTCCAGCCTGGCCTAGCAGTCCGATACCTTCTGCTCATGGACCAGCTATGAAAAGGGACAGAGCCCCAAAACAAGCTAGACAAGTCACAGACAAACAGACTTGGCCAGTAACCAGAAAGAAAAACAGAGTCAAAAGTTAAAAAAGAGAGAGAGACAGAAAAAGTGAAGTCTCAAGGCCTCTTGGAGATCACTCCAGGAGTCATGAAAATATATGATTAGGCTTAACCCATGGGTTTCTACTGCTGAATTCCCAACACTAATAGGGAAGAAACCTTTCAGCATCTCTGAGCAAGGCTTTCCTAGTATGGGTTTATCTGACTGTTGAAACCTCCAAGCTCACTCTTAGGTAAGGTCAGAAGAACACACAGCAGGGTCTTGCGAAAAGAGGCTCTAAACAGTGTTAACCTTAAAAATAAAACTGTGGGGATGCCTAGGTGGCTCAGCGGTTAAACCTCTGCCTTTGGCTCAGGGCATGATCCCCGGTCCCCGGATCGAGTTCCTCATGGGGCTCCCTGCATGGAGCCTGCTTCTCTCTCTGCCTCTGTCTCTGCCTCTCCCTTTCATGAATAAATAAATAAAATCTAAAAAAAAAAAAAAAAAAAAGTATGTGAGTCTATATTCTTGTTATCCTTATAATTCTTAATCCTTCAACCACTAATTTATCTATTTTTGCTTTCCTCATCAATCACTGTGTCCTAAATACCAATTGATTCATGTAGAGTAAAGCTATTTTTTTAAAGATGTATTTATTTGAGGGGATCCCTGGGTGGCTCAGCGGTTCAGTGCCTGCCTTTGGCCCAGGGTGTGATCCTGGAGGATCGGGATCGAGTCCTGCATCGGGCTCCCGGCGTGGAGCCTGCTTCTCCCTCTGCCTGTGTCTCTGCTTCTCTCTATCATGAATAAATAAAATCTTAAAAAAATAAATAAATAAAAATATATTTGAGAAAGAGCACACATCTGTGAGTAGCGATGGGGGAAGTAACAAAGGTGGAGGGAGAGGGACAAGCTAACTCCACACCAAGCACAGAGCCTGAAGCAGGGCTCAATCTAATGACCCCAGATCATGTCTTCAGCTGAAATCAAGAGTCAGTTGCTGAACCAGCTGAGCCACCGAGCACCCCTAGAGTAAAACTATTATAGCTTCATTCATTCTGACTTAGCCAACTGACAAAAAATGTCTATGATTCAATCCTTTGTTCTAGTTTGGGGTGCAGAGATATATGCACTCAACAGGAGGCATGTAACAAGAGAAAGGAATAGCTGCCTGATTCAGGGCCTGAAAGTCTTCCATCAGAACCTGTCCTCTCCCTTCAGCAGTATGAAGTCTGTAACCAAATTCATGGCTGCCCCTGAACAACAGCCTCATTTATGGTGAGGTGAAGCCAAGTAATTCAGTTCTTACCAGTCAAATGGGAGTAAAAATTATGTTTGTTGTGACAAAGCCCATGTCTTAAGGATATAGGCATGTGTCCACAACCCTCTTCTCTTCCTGCTGACTGTATTCCAGACTGTGGCACCCAGCTCTGTGGCTGGTAATGTCATAAGCACAGTTTAGAAATCTATGGCCCCCAGACTAAATCCAGGCCTCCACCCAAAAGCTAGAAATGGATTTTACATTTTTGAATGGTAAAAAAAAAAAAAAGAAAAGAATTACATGACACATGAAAAATACATGAAATCCAAATTTCATATATTTAATAAATATATAATAAAGTTTTTATTGTTCTTTTATTTTATTACTCATTCACTGATGTAGTGCCTATAGCTGTTTTGGGGCAACAACAGCAAAACCAAGTAAAACAAGCAAAACCAAGTAAAAACAGCAATCATATGGCTCACAAAGCCTGAAATAATGACGTCCGAACCTTTACAGAAAATGTTTGCCAACCTCTGCTCTAGGGGATGGCCGTGTAATGACTTGGAAGCTGTCATGTGATGCTGGGCCAATGTTTATGTTCACTATGTTTATGTTCACTATTTCTTGGGGTCTCTTGGTGATAGGAGCTTGGCATTCTCCAATACACTATTCTTGCCAAGAATAAGATCATTAATATTCCAAATTCTGGAAGAGCATATAAGACATAGTAACTTCTCAGTAAATATTTATATAAAAAATAGATACTATTATCTTATTCTACTAGAGTTCTTGAATACAGACACAGTCTAACCTCATATGCATTTTATTCTGCCTCCAGGGCCCTGTCATGTCCCAGGACATATTCTTTAGATGCTATTTTACATTTTTACTCACACACATTAATGGCTTTTATTAATCCTAAGAACATCTCATAATGGAATCCTGAACATGGATTTTGATCTTTGGCAATCTTTCATATTATTTAGCTTACAAACCTATTATTACATCTGACAACATTTACATTACTATCAACAATGTTCAGTGTAAAACTTTATTTATGTACTAAAAAGTTTAATTATTCTTGTTACCACTGATTCAACTGCTATTTCAGTAAAATAAAGCATCATAATTTCAGGTCAATAAAATGTGCATATGCGAACTATCTTCCCACTTGTCACTAAAGTCCCTTTTATTGCTAAATCTAAACATATACAGTTGACCCTTAAACAACACAGGTTTGTACTGCATGGGTCCACTTATGCATGGATTTTTTCAAAAAACACAGTAAAGTACTGTAAATTTACTTTCCTTATGATTTTCTAATTACATTTTCTTTTCTCTAGCTTAATTTGTTGTAAGAATACTGCCTGTAATACATCTAACATGCAAAATATGTGTTAAATGACTGTTTATGTTACCAATAAGGCTTCTGGTTAACAGGAGACTATTAGTAGCTGGGTTTTGGGGCAAAGTTACATGTGGATTCATAACTGTATGAAGGGTCATATACCCTCACGCTGTCCATGGATCAACTATATTTTTTTCCCCATTCAGCTATTTTTTCTGATCCTCTGTTCCTATTTAAAATTCATTGTTCTTTCACAGATCATCTGGGGTCCTTCTTCTTCTTTAACATAAAATAAAAACAAAGACCAGATATTCTGAGCCACTCATATTCATACTTAATTGGCACATATGTGCACTGTAACCAATGCCTAATGCACAATGGCTGACATTTTAAACATTTCATGCAGTTCTTTTTCCTTTCCTAATATAATTATTGGCCCTTAGAATTGTTCCTAGCAGAAAAATTTTTTACATTGCTCACAAAGAGAAAAATAACCTCCTCTGCTCATCACATAAATTCAAGAATTTAATTTTGTTAAATAATTCTCTACAGAAACATTTAAATGAAAAACGGGGAGAAGATTCAGTTATCACATAATTTAATGTAGTTTTGTCTGTTTCTGTGGACTGCTGAATTAGAAAAGAAAAAAGCCATGTATGCTGTACTGGTCATGTACACTCAAGGGGAAGTGAAGACTAAGCAAAAGAATAAGTATCTGAATAGGCAGACAGATTGCAAAACAAATAGATGCAGGGGGATCATTAAAAAACATTAGAACAGGGCAGCCTGGATGGCTCAGTGGTTTAGCGCTGCCTTCAGCACAGGGCATGATCGTGGAGACCCCGGGTAGAGTCCCATGTCAGGCTCCCTGCATGGAGCCTGCTTCTCCTTCTGCCTGTGTCTCTGCCTCCCAATCTCTTTCCCTCTCTCTTATGAATAAATAAAATCTTAAAAAAAAAACCCAAACATTAGAACAAAGTAAACATAATCATGGGCACTAAACACAGACAATATGAATTGCAAATACGAGGCAATATGAATTGCAAACTACTTTCTTTAGTTTACAAACCCACTGAGAGAAGAATTTGTCAGGTGTTATATAATAGGCAGTACATTTAGTGTGGCTCCATATAGCTATGACAGGATAAACATGGTGTTTTTGTTTTTAATATATATATATTTATTGAGAGAAAGCGTGAGTACAAGTGGGGAGAGGGGCAGAGAGGAAGGGACAGGTACGAGGAGACTTGGTGCTGAGCATGGAGACTGATGTGGGGCTCAATCATGACCTGTGCCAAAATCAATAGTCAGAAGCTCAGCCAACTGAGCCACCCAGGCACTCCAAACATGGTGTTTTAAGCAGTGAAATCTATTAGTAGCACCTAAGATAAACTAGTGAAAAAAGCAGGGTGGGGAGGATTAGCCCATCCAAATAGGGTTAGAATAACCTAAAAGCATGAGACAATACAGACATGGTTTTGAGTAATATCACTGGAAAGTAAGAGGAAGAGGGCATCCAAATTATATTTTTTAGAAGACAAACTTTACTATAAAGGGCAGAAAGAAT